GCTACTTCCCCAAAGTCCCGATTCGGCAGAAAATTATGGATTTTGAGTTACTGGCAGATTAGTTTCTTCATCCTCTCCTACAACTATTCCATAGCATTAGAACCCCTTGAAGCCTTATTTCTTCTCATACCAGGCATGTTTGTCACCACAATTTCCTCATAAAGTCAATCTTTTATTTTTCTTTATCGCCCGTTTTCTCAAAAGCGTTTTTTATATACTCTTTTGAATAACTCCACCATTTGTCATTCAATCTGCATTAACTTTTCTCAGAATGAAGAGAAGATGTAATACCAAAAGCTTGTTTGTCGAATATTTTACGTATGGAATAAGTTTTTATTGGTGGTGCCTGGAGTGTGGATTTTTACGGATTTTTTGCAAACTTGCATACAACCTCACGAAAAAACTCATTAAAAATCTTCTAATTCAAACTATAAATTCTAGATGATAAATTACACACGTATTAATTAAGAAAAAGATATTCCTGCGACCTCGACGCCAATGATTATAAGGGATTCTTGTTTTGTTTTTGTTTTAGGAGGGCTGTTTGTTTGTTTGTTTTTACTTTGTTCTGCCTTTTGTCTTGCTTTTTATTTGTTCCTGTTTTACCCGAGTCAACTGATGACCCTCAAGGAGTCTTTTTAATATATTTCTGTGACAATGTATTACTGGGCGCAGTCTATATGCGCTTTGGCTTCATGCCACTTTCGAGAGTATTAATTTACTATGTTATTGAAATAACGATTGATTGATTTTTATCAAACGGGGTAAAATAAATCAACTTGCTGAACTTTACTTCGTGTCTTTACACACCTGTGCCGTTCATTCGTCGCTTGTTTCTTTTGGCTAAGGGGTGTTTTGCAATATCAAAAAAATACACAGCTCGATCGCGGTGTGGTGTGAGATCAATGTTCTTGAAAACTCGCTGTGGAAATAATATGTCATCTCACCAAATACATGTTAATAATGGGATCACACTGTTTGTCGTCTATCTTCCATATACACCCCC